TCCTCTCCCAGCAGAGCTCTAGGGAGGTCAGGACAAGCTGGGGGACATCCCAGCACATGCAGAATGATCCTCTGGTGCAGACACCCAAGGAAGAAGAGGTGACCAGGTCAAAAAGTTGTGCAGGGAGGCTTAGGACCGGTCTCTGAACTTGTAAAATCCCCTCCAGGACCTCACAGACTTGGTGGGTGTCTGCTTGCTCAAGGGTGGATGCAACACCCTCCCTATACCCTCCATGCCATATCCCTGCTGCCACAGCCTTATTGGCCCAAGGGGGTCCCACACTGGGTGCAGGCTCCCAAGTCATCCCATGTGTTGCCACAAGGCTTTGAGATCTGAGGATTGCATCAGCTTCTCCAGGGAGAAGTTTCTGGCCAGGGCCATGGGGACTCCCTCTCTCTCATCCCATCCCATCCTTCACCCTCCCAAGGATTTCCCAGCCCTGCTGCTTTCCACCATGGTTGACCGAATCTGGTTGGCCACTCAGCTTGAGTCTGTCCCTTAACTTGATCACTCCAGGGATCTATTCCCTCATTTCCCACAGGAGAGGGCAGAGGTCCCAGTGTCAAAAGGCAGGAACAGGAGGAAGAGAACAGATTTCCTAGTGCTTTAGAAAAGCTTTTGCCACTTGGGAGCTTTGTTTGCAAACACGATCTACCTAGATCAAGGAGTCTGACAAGCAACAGCCCAAGCACCTCTCCAGAGGCTGTGGATAAGCTAGTACTCTGGCCACCCAACCAATTCAGGCACCCCAATGGTCTGTGGCTCCAGGGGTTGAAGCTAGAGCCTTGCTTGTGTGGGAAAGAGGGGAACATGGTCCAGACAAGGGGGGAAATTCAGCAGCAGTGCTCCAAAGGGCAGCCCTCCATACCTGGACAAGGATGAGCTTACACCGCAGGGGCACGGCATCTGGGAACTCCTCTCCAAAGCACAGCATGACCCTGCTGTCTGGGAAGCGGCCCTGGTTGTTGTAGTACTGCTGCAGCTCTGCAAGGAGAAGGGAACAGATGGAAGCTGCCAGCCTTTGCTACACAGCTTCAGGACCAAGCACCCTGCCGTGGAAGAAAGCTGGGGGCTCAAGAGGAGCCAGCTTTTTTGTGCAAAGCCTCCAACCAGGAGGAGTTTTCTAGTGGCACAAGACACCAGATTGTTCCTTTCCAGATCTGGTAGCAGCAGCTACTCATCCAGAGCACTTGGGTAACCCATCGGTGATGGGGAGCGATGACTCCAAAGTGCTCCAAGGCCAAGGGTTCCACCCTTTCAACCCCACCAAGTGGATGAAGAGAAAGAGAGAAATGCTCCTACAAACCTCTGAAGAAGAAACTGGTGTCAAATATCTTCACCACCTCATCCCGGTCCAGTTTGTTGGGCCTGTCCTTGTAGACCATGGTGTTCCCGCTCCAGAAGACCCTGCCCTGGCACAGCCTCTTGATGAAGATGCCCTGCTTGTTGCTGTGCAGGAGGACACCCCTCTCCAGGTGCCCAAAGAGCTTCCTGGTGATCTGCTTCTGGCGGTCATTCTGGATGGCATCTGCCGAGGGGAACTGCACGTGCTCCAGGGCATCTGGGGCATACAGCTTCTCGCCATGGCTGGAGGGCTGGCTGAGCGAGATCCGGCACCCCTCGGTGCACGAGGTGGTGATGTGGCCCACCAGCCTCCCGCCATAGAAGAAGTTGATCACCATCTGGGAGTAACCTGGGAGGAGGGGACAGACGGACACATACACCACCCATCAGGAGAAGACAAACACTGCCAATGCCCAAACGCTGCGAGAGTGGCAAAATTTCCTGTGAGCAAGTCTCCCTTGATGAAGGAGACATCCTCCTTGCTAGAGGACATCTCCAGCACTCAGCCTGGTAGCAATGCTGATCAGCAAGCGAGAGCCCCCGATACTGAACCCCTTCCTCCTGCCTTTGCTCCACACTTCCCTGCTGTGGGCAGATCTCCCCACACTAAAGGTACAGCTGATCCCAGCATCCCAGAGCAGAGCCCCCCCCCCATGCCAGGGCCATGGGACAACAAGCAGGATGCGTCCCTGCTCAGTGTGCAAACCCTGTGGGTACTCAGGAGGGCACGGGACCTCCCAAAGCCAGAGCAAAGCCTCCCCCCAAGGCAGGGAGCAGAGTTAGAGCCACCTTCTGCCACGACACACACTATGAGCCCCAGAAAGGCTTTTGATGGCCACAGTCTACATCCAAGCAGGGACACTGCCTTACCCGAATGATGCTGCTCGTAGCCAGAGTATCCGTTCATCAGGGGCAACGCTGGGGGCAGAGAAAGCAGAGTTGTGCCTCCATGCCCAGCTCCCAAACCTCAATCCCTGCCTCTCCTCTCCACCAGCCCCCCGGTTTTCCCTCCCAGGCACATCAGGCTTCCCAGCTCCCACACAATAGATTCAACCTCAGGCACCCCACTAGATTCAACCTCAGGCACCCCACTAGATTCAACCTCAGGCACCCCACTAGATTCAACCTCAGGCACCCCACACTCTTGGGTGCCTGCTACCAATCACAGTGTTCATAATTAGTACTTTAAGCATTCTTAATAAGGAAGATAAAACACAACTGTTGTCCATTACCCATTTCTGTACAGTAAGTTTTTTCTGCCCCAGGCAAAAAGCTCAGTTCCATTAAACTCTGCACACGCTGTCAGCTACTTACCAGGGCTGGGCTGCTGCACCCACCAGTCGGGTATCAGGGGGTTTCTGCAGGTCTCCTGGGGGGGTGAGGGGCTTCGCTTGATGATCCCCAGGTATTCATCGACACAGGGGGGCTGTGCGAGACCAGACACAGGGATCAAGAGCGGGTTTGATGCCCTGGGCAGCCCCTGCCCTGCACAGAGACACTTGCAGTGCTCAGAAAGGGTCCAAAAGGCAATGCCAGCAGGATGCCAATGAACTTTTTTGGTTAAAAAGAGCCAGTTTGGCATTGCCCAGGCTGTACACTCAAATAACAGTCTCAAGAGCTACTGAGCAGAAGCAGCCCAAGGTGACACAGCTGAGAAGGGGAACAGAGCTGGCCCCTGGTGAAGGTCTCGCCTGCCTGGGATGCAAATCAAAAGCCATTGGCAACCACGTCCCAGTGCTGGCTCGCATGAATGAGCTGCGAGACCCGCTGTCACTTGCCAGGCAGATTCTCAAAGCTTTGCAGATGGAATGTTAGGAAGGCAACGCTCTATCATCAGGCAACTGCCTGCCATCCATCCACCTCCAGCCAAGGCAACCTGCAGCCACCGTGAGGGCTTACCTCTTTAATGAGGTCATCAATTGCAGAGGAACTGCAGTCCATCTCCGTGACATCATTCAGGCTGCTCCCATTGGCAATGCCCGCTTTGCCTGGAAGGAGAGGCCAGGATGCAGTGAGCACACCCACCCCCCTGCCACAGCTCTTCTCACCACTGGGTTTTAGAAACCCTTCACGCCGTGAAAGTTATGAAACCGAGAACCACAGCACAGCCATGTAACAGCACCTCAGGGGGGCTCACAGCCCCCTCCACCCAGAGCAGCTTTTCAAGACCAGTTTGCAACCCATTACCCCAGTGCACAGTGACCAGCAACGAGGCAAATCAAAAATTCGGCCAGTAGCAGAGACAGAGCTAGAGTAAGGGGTTGGGGTTTTTCTTCTGAGCACCCCAGAGACCAGGGCTGCTGCTGCTGCTTCTCCTTTTTTCCGCCAGCCGCCCCGTGCTGCCGGTGGGAACCTGCAGTGCCATTTGCATAGCGGCAGCACAGCCCCCATGTGAACGTGGCTGGAGGAGACCGAGATGCTAAAGGCAGATTTCCTGACAGAGAGATTTTTTTTTCTCCGCCGCCCCCCCCCTCCCCCCCAAGTCTTTTTCCTCAAAAAAAAGGAAAAAAGCATACACTTGCCTAACCACAAATGGAGATATACTTAGCATGACCTGCGCCACACCGGACATCGCAGCAGCAACTGCTCTCTGCGAAATTACTGCTGCTCTAATCACTGCTGCCAAGAGAGGAGGGATTTATTGCAGCTCCCTGCCATCCGCCCCAGGCAGGCCGCTGGGAGGACAAGGGGTTGGGGCTCAAGCAGCCCCTCGAGGAGGGGAGAGATTTTGGATTGGCCCTTATCACATCCTTATGGGATGGAAGGTCATGCAATGCTGCAGTTATCCCCTACTTCCTAAGCAGCTGTTTTGGAGGGTAATAAAAAACAGCCTGTCCTTCCTCCTCCCCTCCCTGCCACCGCAGTGACACAGGGGACATCTGCAAAGCAGGACAAGCAAAGCATCACAGCAGAAGAGCAGCATCTGGCCAGGAAGCTCCACAGCACAAGCCCATGGCAACTCACAGGACCAACCCATACCTGGGGGTCAGTCCCTTATCAGGGCACTCACATTTCTGTTCCTCCTCCGGCACAATCCTGTAGACCTTGTAGGGCTCAGAGATGTCCAGCTGGGATCTATCCGTCACCTCCTCAAAGTCAGGGCTCTTGTTCAAGGCGCAGCGCAGTCGCGTTTTCCACGTGGCCGGCTCTGCTTTGTCACCTTCTTTGAACTTGCCTTTGAAAACAGCCCAGGCCTAAAACAAAGCAACAAAAAAAAAATCTTCCACACTACTGAGCTCTGCAGATCTCCTCAACCCCCAGGGGCAAAGGAGCTGGGGCTGCAGAGAGCATTTTGCTCTCCCCACCTCTCTGCCCCTTGCACCCTCTCAACCATTCCATGCATATTCATCGTTTCGCTCCTAGACTGCAGACATGTGCCCAGCCGCCACATGTGGGGATGGGTATCTGGGTGCAGAGCAGCACCCACCTGCCCCAGCGATGCGCTCGGGTGCAGGAAGGGCTGCAGCACCTGGGTTTTAAAAAGCAGAGGCCAAGATCATGATAGGTGGGTTCATCTCTGCACCAACAGTTCAGGAGCTGCTGGAATCACTGCTGAAGCACCTCAATTAAAAAAAAAAAAACAAAGAAAGCCTCATTTTCCAGCTCCTGACTAGTAAGTGACAGCTGGTTTCCTTTTAAGATCAGCACATCATTTGTGCTTTTGATGGGAGAATACATTTTACCACTGAAGGGAGATTACAAAAATATGAATAATGGAGACCACAAAACACACTATTTTTTAAATGTACACACTTATTTTATAGATATTTATGTATTTTCAGATGGCTGAATTCAGTGCCGTCCTCATAACCCAGTGCTCCCAAACCAGCCACTAATCAGCTGTCACTGCCCTGAAAATGAACTCTCTTACCAGTAAAAATATTTGGAAGTGGGGGCAGAGGGAAGGGAATTCCTGGGGAAGAGCCTGGCCTTTTTGGTTCAGGATGGAATTTTCCAGTTTTTCCCCAAAACTGGAAATCAAAACCCCCCCCCCCCCTTCAGTGAAATCCAAGGCTTCTTTCCCTCCTGCAAAGTCTTTTTTTAAATGGGAAATCCAGCCCTTTATCAAGAATAGCCTGATAAGAAGTTCAGAGCAGGTCAGAAGGAACACATCAAGCTCCTTCTCATGTCAGACCAGGATTCAAGCATGCTGAAAACAAACCTAAACCTGGCACCAGCATTTGACAAAGAGGAATAAATACCCCCAAAGAGAGCCTGGGAGACCAAGTGCAGGATGAAGCATCTCCTGCAGGGGTTAGAGATGCAAAACCCACAGACAGCGTGGACATCCCCCACCAGCAGGACTGTCAGCAAGGAAAAAAACAGCATTGCTGAGCCCAGAAACCGTGGAGAAAAGTCATTAAGCATCTGTCCCTACCTTGAAAATAGAGGCATCCACCTCCTGGTTGTAGTCCTGCTTCCCAGCATGTTTCCACGGGATGCGGAACATGGTTTTCTCCTCATTCTCCCAGATGAGCCCAGGGTACAGCTCGCTGTCGATCTGCTCGATCAGCCACTGCCGGAGCCGCCGCCCGCCGTTGCGGTCACACATCCTGGATGGAACGAGAGGTCCGAACCCCGTTAGGTCCCCCAGCACTGTCCTACCACAACTGGGGTACAAGGGGTTGTGCCACGCTCTGGCCTGCAGAGCCAAGCAGCTTTGGGCGGCTCTGTAAGTCCTACATCTGTACGTTAAAATGCACCCCTACACACTTTTATAATGAAAAAAATCAAGGCAATTTCCTTTGAATTATCTCAAGTTCTTCCTCCATCTCTGTCAATCAAAGCTCTGCTCACAAACAAGCTGACTTGGTGCTCTGCTTACTTTTTTTTTTTGCTGTGGGATGGGTCCTACAGGAAGCAGACAGACAGGGACTGAAGTCCCCAGTTGTGCTGTCACCCAAGCAAGTGACACTGGGGCAGGCAATCCTGGGGCAGACACCCTTCGGTGTCTGCTGGAAATGGGAGTCAAGTGCTGTCCCCGGCTGGCCTTGGCACAAGGGTCTGTCCCAGGGGAGAGGGCAGCACCTCTGGCTGGGCACTGCCAATTTGGGGAGCAGGCACTGGTTCCAGGCAGCACCCAGAGTCACTGCAGGGATGGGGGCCACACAACCAATCCTCTCAAACAGAGGACTGACACATGGAAGGAGCAGGGTGAAGTCAAGCCACCCTTGCTTGGGGACATGAGGTCATTTTTAGCCAAAACCACTGGGTGACTTTATGGAATACCCAGGAGAAAGCTTTGCCCACCTGGCTGGAAGCAAAGTGACAGGCTCAACCCTCCTGGCATCCCCTACCACCTCCACAGCAAGGCTCGCAGGAGTTGGTGGCCTGGCAGAAGTGACCAGCAGCTCCAGGATCAGCCCTCCAGGCCTTTGGGGCTCACAGCTCTCCTCCAAATTTTACAAAACTGCTTCTCCCTCATTTTTTTTTTTCAGTTTACTGCCCCATGGGAAGGTTCTGGGGAGAAGACAAGGATGCTCCCAGCACAGCCCAAGACCTCCTGGTCCCCGCTTTGCCACAGGCTCACACCAGCTCTTTGCCACCAAGTCCTGCCCCATCTCCATCGCATGGGACACGCAGACCCCCCCCAGCCACCTCCCGCGCAGCCTCTGGTTTTAGGGATGGCAACAGCCAAAGCCAGGCCGAGGGCACAGCTCCGGGAAGGAGCCGTCCCTCCAGAGCAGGGCGCCCCAAAGCACACACCAGAGCTCGCCCCCAGTGGGATGGGGGGGGGGACACGGCCCCTCTGCGGGGGACCCCCC